AAGCCCAAACCAGACCCTCCCTGCCTCACTCCCTCACAGCCAAAGGCAGCTCAGCTGCAAAGGGGCCAGCGTCTACTCCACTTCCTTAGCCTTGGAGACCAAGGCTTAGAGCAGACCACAGCCTTGCTAGTTAAACTACAGAATCTCGGTCTGGAAGCAGCGGCATCAGGCAGAGAGGCGAAACCCTCATCATCACACTTAGTTCCTCAACTCCTGCACCAGGTACAAGAAAAGATGAACGGCCAAGTGTGGTGAAGCACACCTGCATTCCCAGCACTTGGGAGAATAAGAAGGATAAGTTCGAGGCCAGTGGGTTACAGTAGACCCTAGCTTAAAAAAAAAGAAACACTCAAAAATCTTCAGCAGGAGTATCTTAAGAGTAGTGACCTCTGGAAGATAGGAAAAAGTAACAAGAAAGGGACAGCAAAGTGAATCTTAAACTCACAATTCTTTACATTTTCTTCTGATGCAATTAAGTAGGAACTTTCTTAAATCCAGGTAGACTCCACAACTACTGACACTTAGGAAAGCACCCCCAAAGGAGAGGAGGTGCCCAGCCTGAGGTGCTTCGAGCTGCTAGAGTCTGCACCACCACAGTATTTTACTTAATCCTCACCACTACTTTGAAAAACACTGCAGAAACTCCTAAGCAAATAAGAAGCTGAGGCTGCACAGGGGAGAACCAGGTCGGCTCAAAGCCCGACAGCAGCGGGCCATCGGCACTCCACAGTGAAGGTCAGGCAGAAAATCCCAGAGTCCAGATGCAATTCCAACAGCAGACCCTCCAAAGAATAAAATAAAATAGAAATCCAATCAAGAGCTGGAATAGAGGGCAGCTGGGGACAAGTAGCGGACGCCGAGGCAAGCACAGGCACAGCACCAGGCAGCTCTGGCTCCACATCTGCAAAATGGGCCGGTCCTAAGTACCAAGAGCCTTTTCCTGCTGCTAAGGCTCAAAACAGAGCGGCTACCCACAAGCAAAGAGCCCCGGAGAGGACTGAAAGACTGGGAAATTCCCTGTAGACTAGGGAGCTGAAGAAGGGTTTGAAGCCAAGAAGCAGGCAGGCTGGTCCAGGTAATGACACAAGCAGGCAGCCTCACGAACCTCCTCCCACATAGGTCCCGGACAGGTAAGAAAACTTGGATTGCTCAAAATGCTATACTGTGGTTGCCTTATTCGAAGGAGTAGCTCCACAAACCCCGGTCCTCAGGTCCCTGCTTCCCACAGCAGCAGGGTCGCTCCAGAACACAACAGCCACCCAGACTCCAGGACCAGCTAAAGCAGCTCCACCTAGAGCAGAGCAGAGCCTGGCTTTGCAGCAGAGCTCTACATAAAGCCATCAACATGTGGGTTTCTCCTCCTTAGACCAGGGTCACAATCTACCTCACTCAAGTGTCATAAGGACTTGGAAGAACATTTGGAAACAACCTTTTCCCGCCCTCCTTGACCCCAATACCTGACTTTCTACTTTCTAAATATGTGGCTTCACAGGAGCAAATATGGCCAGGCACTTAGCACAGGCCAAGCCATATGCCACATACCAACACGATCTCAGTTCCAGTCTCCAACCAGCTAAGGCCTGGGAGTTAGTTGGCCTCAGTTTCCTCCCCAGTGAAGAGCACTATTTTGTCCTCAGAAGACTGTTAAACGATTCACTTAGGAAATCCATTACGAGTTTAATCACAGTTATAATAGATACCTACCACCATTACTAATCTCAAAAATCCATTAATACATCAAGGTCATTACGCAGATGAAAAATACAAAGCTATTAAAGTAGCACCTACTAAGCAACAACGTGGGTATTTCTCAAGTTGAACCCGGTATTTGCAACTCCAAAGCCTAAGCTCTTAAGCACTGCAATAAAGCAAACACACCAGGGCCACTCAGAAAAGTTATTTCTTCCACAGGCTGTTTCAGTCACTCTCCTACTCAATTCCAGCCTGGATTAAAAGAATTCGCAGCCGGACGGGGTGGCGCACGCCTTTTGCCAGCGCTTGGGAGGCAGAGGCAGCCTGGTCTACATGGAGACCCTGTCTCAAAAAGAAAAATTCTGAATCCCCTCATCCAGCCCTCTGAACTCCACCTAGGAACACAGCCTAAGCCTCAATCAAGACTCAAGTCTTCACCCTTTCTATTTTACAAAGGTCAAACACTTCCTTAGAAGTCCTTAGTCCGATGAGCACCAACTTGGCCTTGGCTTGGTTTGATCCACACACAGTACAGGTCCCTGCCTTAAGAGTATCTACCTACCTCCATTAACCCGTTACTACCCCAATGGGCCGGCTCTCCGCCACTTTGGGCCGGTTTTCTTATCCCTATGGTGAGGCTGAGTGGCTGGAGTTTGAGATGTGACAGGATTTGGGGTTTTGTCTAAATTTAAGAGATGTCCCGGGCACTCCCATCGCAATTACCGGCAGCCAAAAAGACCTCAGGCATATACGACGTGTGTGTACCAGGGGCACAAAGAGTGCAAGCTTCCCCTTCGGCGGGGAAAGGTGTCGGACACACAGATCTTCGGCACCGAACAACCGGCGACTGGGGCAGAAACACTCTGACCGGGGAATTCCAACCAAATGGAAAAAAACATGAACTGGCGCAAAACAAGCCCAAAGCCAGCAAGCGCCGGGAAACAGAGCACCCAGTCCACGTGAAGGGAAGGGGGGGGTTCACTACCGCCATTTTGGAGACAAAGGGGGCGTGGAGAACGGAAAAGTACGCCCGACCGGAAGCGGAAGTTCCGAGACAGCATAAAAAGATTGGCATATGGGGTCTAAATCCATCTTTTTCCTAAATAAAGGGAGGACCCCACGCTGAGGAACCCGGCGCTCTCAGAGGGCCGCGCCGCCTCAGCCGGGACCACATGGTCACCGGACCGAGCTGCGCGCATGCGCTGTGGACCTCGCCCGCGCCCCTTCCCTCTCCGCGCGCTGCAGAAAGGGGAGGTCACGTGAGCGAGGCGCGCGCCACGGGCTGGGGGGGCATGGTGCGGCCTCAAGGAGGGGGACGGAGAAAATGGCCGAGGGTAGGGGCGAAGCAAGGAGCCACCCAACCCCGGCGTCCTCACCTTGTTTATTCTCATTGAGCTGCCGCTCGAACTCATCGAAGTCCGACATGCTTAGGCGGCCGCGTCGGGCCCTGTACAGCTCTCGCTTCGCCTTGCCGCCCGCTCCGGCCGCTTTGGCTACTTCCGCCGATGCCTTCAGCTACTTCCGGCCCCCGCCAGCACTCCGTCGCCTACCTAATCAAGCCCCCCAAG